GGAGGCAACTTAATCTCATTGTTTTAAAAAAATTATTTATTTTTTCTTAGTACATGTTTGCAGTATGTATATGATCATATTCATTGTAAGACCGAGGGCCTTACCAAACGCTCCAAGGAGCTGACTATAGTGAAGCACACCCAGGGATCCCAGCGGTGCCTCCAGAATGCAAGGCCAAGGCCTTACCAAACGCTCCAAGGAGCTAGCTACAGCGAGGACCACCCGGGAAGGAACACACCGGCCACGTTGGAAAACAGACCTTTATTAGTCTGGCCAGACGGCACTCCCGAAGCAAAATAGCTCAGAGAGGCACCTGGCTCAGAGTCCGAGGTTGTTTTATAGGGGGTTAAGGGGGGGGGTTTAACATGTGGATTCACAGAAAAAAAAGAACAAAGGTTAGTGGCTCATTGTCACATGCTGATGTTCAGCAGACATCCTGACTGACAGTTACGACCACCCTGTTTACAGATTGTCCTATAGATACTGGGCCCCGGGACATTTGGATTTAGGGCAAACAGATGGCTGAGTAACCTCGCCCTATTACTGATTGTCCATTGTCCCAAGGCAAACACACTCCAACCATCAAATTTACAACAGAATCTAGGGGAGTAATTAACTTTTGAATCACACAGTCCCACAGCATCATGGGGAATTTGTACCTGTACATAATATATCTTAATCCTTTTTCATTAGCATTCCCCTCCCCTCCCTTCAATCTTTCTTCCCCTCCCCAATTATAAAAGCTCTGTTTCTGTATTTCCCTTTCTCTTTTTTCTAAAATCCCTTTTCCCTTCCTTCCCTTCTCCCTCTCCCTCTTGTTCCCTTTCCCATTTGAACAAGTTCTTCCTACTTCCCAATATCTATCCTCCATTTTGTTCCTTATTTACTTATTTTGGCTTTCTCACACAAGAGAAATAATGCGATATTTAAACTTGTATGTCTGATGTATTTTACTTAAGATTATGGTCTCAAAATGGATCCATTTTCCTAAAAATGCCTCAAGTTTATCCTTTTTATGGCAGAGTAGTATTCCACTATATATAAATACCACATTTTCTTTATTCATCTGTTGATGGGCATATGGGCTGTTTCCAAGATTTAGTTATTTTAAATTGTGCTGCTGTAAATATGGGTATGCGTGCATCACTGTGGTATGATGACTTTAACTCTTTCGAGAGAGGGAATAGGCCAAATGGGACCTTTTTTAAAAATTCTTTTATTGGTACATTTTAGGTATATAATACATTTACATTTGTCATTGGGTGCTTGTACTTGTACATCATATATCTTGCTTCTTATTTTCTCTCTCATTCCCTGTGCACCCTTCACCTGCTCCACCCTTCCTTACTTATATAGATTTTGTTTCCATTTTTTTTCTTTTCTCATAATTTTTCCTTTCCCTTCTTTCCTTTCCCCTTCCTGTCCCACCATCCCTACACCTTTGGACCTTTTAATATTTCAAATTATCAGTTATTCTTTTTTTTTTTTTTTTGGTACCAGGGATCCATCTCAGTTCCTTGCGCTTGCGCAGCAGGCAGTGAAACCACTGAGCTAAATCCCCGGCCCTTCAATTATTCACTTTAATAATTTTAATCCTTATTTACACTGTCAGTTTCTCACACCAGAGAAACTATTCGGTAATTACCCATGTGTGTCCTATTTATTCCATTTAAGAGTATGGCCTCAATATGCATCCATTTAGCTATAAATGTCTCTAGTTTCTCATTCTTTATGGCTGAGTAGTACTCCATTTTATAAAAAAACCACATCTTCTTTATTCAGTTTCAAGTTGATGGGCACTTGGGCTGTTTCCAAGCTTTAGCTATTACAAACTGTGCCACTATGAACATGGGTACACATATATCGCTGTGGTATGATTCTTTTAATTCTTTTGGGAAGATACCCAGCAGGGGAATAGCTGGGTCATATGAGACCTCTAAGCCTAGTTCACTGAGGTATCTCCATACTGATTTCCACGGTGGTTGCACCAGTCGGCACTCCCACCAACAATGGAGAAGGGTTCCTTTCTCCCCACAGCCCTGCCAGCATTTGTTATTGGTTGATTTCTTGATAGCAGCCATTCTTTCTGGGGTGAGGTGGAATCTCAGTGTTGTTTTCATCTGCATCTCTTGAATGACCAGTGATGATGAACATTTTTTCACATATTTCTTTGCTGCTTTTACTTCTTTGTCTGAGAAATGTGTGTTCATTTCAGATGCCCATTTTGAATTGAGTCTTTGAATTTGGGGGGCCTGATTTTTTTCAATGCTTTATATATTCTAGATAGTAGACCTTTGTCTGAGTTAAAGCTGTTAAAATTTTTTTCCCACATTGTAGGTTGTCTCTTAGCTCTGTTGGTGGTTTCTCTTGCAGTGCAGAAGCTTTTTAATAAGATGAGATCCCAGTTGTTGATTCTTTGTGCTAGTTCCCGTGCCACTGAGGTTTTGTTCATAAAGTCTTTTCCTATGCCAACGTCTTCAAGAGTTCTACCTAACTTATCTTCCAGCAAGTTTAGTGTTTCTGTCTTAATATTTAGATCTTTAATCCACTTCGATTTTAGTTTAATGCATGGTGTTGGTATGGGTCTGGTTTTAATCTTTGGTAGGTTGAAATCCAGCTTTTCTAACACCATTTATTCAATAGCCTATCTTTCCTCCAATGAGGGTGGTTGGCTCCTTTGTCAAAGATGAGGTGGCTGAGTATGTCTGAAGTTATTTCTGTATCTTCTAATTTATTCCACTGATCCTTGGGTCTGTTTCTTTGCCAGTACCATGCTGTTTTTATCACGTAGCTTTGTAGTATAGTTTCAAGTTGGGGAATGTGATACCCCCAGCCATGTCTCTGTTGCCTAGAATTGCTTTTGCTATTCTAGGTGGGACCTTTTGTTTTAGTTTTTTGAGGAATCTCCATACTGCTTTCCATAGTGGTTGCTCCAATTTACACTCCTACCAACAGGGGGGAAGGGTTCCTTTTTCCCCCACAGCCTCATCAGCATTTGTTACTGGTTGATTTCTTGATAATGGCCGCTCTTTCTGGGGTGAGATGGAATCTCAGGGTTGTTTTAATTTCTTGAATGACCAGTGGTATTGAACATGTTTTCATGTATTTATTTGCTCTTTAACATGCCTCCAAATCCCATCTCCTATTACCGTACTTCAGAGAAAGTTTGTTCAGTAAAATTGATACCTTTAATATTGTTTGGATGTCAATTAGCTTCAGCTCTGTGGGTTGAAGTCTTTGTGTATGGTTTGCTTTGGGGAGTCTCAGTCTGTCAGCTCTAGGAACCGCATTTCTAAAACTCCAGAGCTAGAGCTGGGTGGGTGGGGTGGGTGTGGCCCTGAGATAACTGTTCACTTGGCATATGTTCATGGTGAATCCATTTCCTGCACAGTCTTGTGCTAGGTGCTGTGGCTGAGGCAAAGCAGGATCAGACATGATTCCTGTCCTCTGGGAGCTGGGGACCCTACAGTGAGGACAAGTCAGTTTTAGTGAGCTGGAGGGGAAGGAGGATGGGGACATTGTGGCCCCATCTGGGCCTCAGTTGTGGTGATCAGGGGCAGCAGGGCAACTGAGAAGCAGGCGGCCCAACCTTCGCAGAATGTGGAGCACTGTCCTTGGGCTGGAGGAAGTGAGGCCCCATGTACAGTTTGGCAAGTGATCGGCCTTGGAGATATGAGTAGAAAGGGGAGCTAGCTGGAATATGTCACCTGGGAAGATCAATTTTCTTTCAGGTGTTTCCTGTATATTCATTAGAAAAGTGCTTATTGAGTTCTGTAGATTTTTGGTTCTGTTTTGTTTTCTCTTTTTTCTTTTTGTTAGTACATATTTGCAGCATGTAATGTTTACATTCCTTGTGTGGAGTTGGTACATGTACATAACACATCTTAATTCCTTTTTTCATCCCCTTTCTTTCCTCTAACCCCTCCTCCTTGATTCCCTTTCCATTTGATAAAAACCTATCTCCCTACTTCCAATTATCTAGTTTTTATTTGGCTCTTTATAATTTGGGTTTCTCGAATAAGAGAAACCACATGATATTTAAGCTTGTGTGTCTGGTTTATTTCACTTAACATTATGGTCTCAAGGTGCATCCATTTTCCTATAAATGGCTCAAGTTTATCTCTTTATGACAGAGTAGTACTCCATTGCATGTAAATACCATGTTTTCTATCCATTCATCTATTGATGGATATATAGGCTGCTTCCAAGCTTTAGCTATTATGAGTTGTGCTGCTATAAATGTGGGTATGCATGTATCACTGTAAAATGATATACAACTCTTTTGGGAAGTACCTAGGGGGGAATAGCTGGATCTAATGGAATCTAATTTCTAGTTTTAGTCTCTTTTACCCCAGGCCAAGGGTAGTATGTCCAGGAGAGCCCTCCAGGAGCTCTGGCTGCAGACAGTGGGTAGAGATCTAAGGAGGAACAACAGTGTGATCTTTAAGTAAATTGCAACTCTCTCATGCGCCTCACTTTACAGCCCTGACTGAAAACAAAGTTATCAACACCGGGTCTGTTAACTACTTCTCTGTGGCCAGAGCTAATGAGCCCATCTCCACCGAGAGCCCCTGTGCTGGAACACTAAGCAAGGCCGGAGCTCGGAATACATCCACCCCATCTCCTTCACCACTTCAGTCTCTCAAACCCCAGTTCTGGCCTAAGAAGCAACATATTAACCTGGTTTTCCCATTCATCTATTCTCACTTCCTGCCTCTCTGAATCATATTTGTTTCCCTAAGGGTCACAGGATGACCTGTTACTCATGGCCCTTGAAGCTCATGGCCACCACCCTACAAGCAGCCTTTTTTATTATGGAAAGCCTTGGAATTCTGCTGACACTTTTGATTATAAGTGCTAAGAGGAAACAGATTCTCAGACTTTGGAGCTGAAACAAAGCAGAGTTAAATGCCACCTTAATAAAAAAGTAAAAGATATGGTAGCTAATTTCAGTTTAAAAATAGATACCTAGGGCTGAGGATTTAGCTCAGTGTTTTCCGGTGCCTGCCTCACAAGCACAAGGACCCAAGTATGATCCCTGGTACCAAAAAAAAAAGGAAAAAGAAAAAAAAAAAGATACTTGATACCTAGGCCCTTCTCTGACCCTGTTTTTGGGACTGTGGAGTCCCCAGAAGCTCCACTGAGGTTAACACTAAATTCCACTGGCTTCTCCCAAAGGCAGCCCAATGACCCTGGCATAGTTTTCCTCTTTTTTACAACTGACACTTGTATCCTTTCAAAGCTATTTGTCCAATAGACAGGCTACACTAATGATTAGGAGAAAAGGATTTAGGAGTCTTGATGGGAAGAGTTTGCTATTTCATAAACAACATCATAGTAGTCATTGAGAGAAAACTTCCTTACACTTACAAGTATCTGGTTTAATGTTGGTTTTGCTTTGGATATTTGAGGGATCCCATCTGTTTTTTTGGTACCGGGGATCGAACTTGGGACCTTGCGCTTGCGAGGCAGTCAGCAGAATCACTGAGCTAAGTCCCCAGCACCACCATGTTTTTAGCATGTGGACATCTAAATGTCTTCATGTAGTCCTGGACCTTTGGAGAAATTTGCCCCAAGGATCACCTGGCTCTATTTTCGGTCCTCAGCAGGAGCAAGGAACCCTAAAGAAAGGCCTCATGCTTCAGGTCTGGGTTTCTGCCTGGGATCCCAGTTGCTCAAAAATGGGCCCTTCCTCTCTCTTGCCAATGTCCCATCTTCACTTCAGGGCCATCACAGAATTAAGGGGTGGAATCTGCTGGCCACTTTTCCAAGCTCTTGATTGATCTCAGCACATTGCCTGGACCTTGATCTTCCTGTGTCCCTTTCCAGACTTTCTATTCTCTCTTCTCCACTTATAACTGGGAAGCTGGCAGAAGACAGAGCCTGTGGAGTTGGGGCCTACAGAAGTAGGGGTGCTAATGACCTTCTCAGACCTCTTGTCTGAGAGCATTGGGGACGGTGCAAACAATTTCCCTTATCAAGAGGGTAACTAATTTTAATTTTCATCATTACCTTACGTCCTCAGATAAAGCCTACCCCTCCATACTCACTTAATGATGAGAGAGTCAGGCTCTACCAAGGTGTTGGAGGAAGACTGGCAGGCCAGAGGCAGGACTTCCGGTGTCCTTAACAAATATTTCCGGTATATTGCCTGGCCCCGTCAACGGCTGTCTATCTTGTTAAAGCCGTTTATGGTGGCTGCAGTATCTGGCAGACCACGATATCTTGGTCTGCAAGGCAGCCCAGGAGGCCTCGGCACACCCCTTTCAGAGGTGCGTACTTTCAGCTTTTTGGGGCCCCTCTACGGAAATGTTAAATTAGTAATTTCCAGGTCCACCCATAATTCCTTCAGGCTGACTGGTGGCTGCTCCCAGCGGTTGGTACAGCCGAGTGAATAACTCGACGACGCCGTCGCCTTCTCCCACTTTCTCAGTTATTTACTTAACTTTATACTTAGTTAAGTGCTCAATGTGTCGTGGCTCTAAGATGTTGGCTGGGAGTGCTGCTCTTGGGAAGCCGTTGGAGATGAGGTAGGGAAGGACGGCAGACCCAGTCAGAACCCTGGTTTCTCAGATAGTAGTGAGGGAGATCTTTATACTCTGGACTCCTGTGGATATCTTCTGTTTTCTCCCTTCCCTTTCCCTTCTTCCCACCCACCCTCCACAGTCTGGAGAAGAGAAAAGAGAGGACCGGAGGGGAAGGGGGGAGGGAGGAGGAGGAGGGGAGAATCATGGAGAGTTCTCGGCACAATACTAGTTCTTCTCCAGGAAATGCCCTCAAAATCCTTAGGTCATTGAGGTCCCCCTTTCTTCTCTCTAGAAAGACTTGACTAACAGTTCTAGCTCACCCTCTACTGACCTGGAGCAACACGTTTCTCGTTCATCTCCCCGGCCCCTGCTCCCTCCCTAGGGATTGACCCCAGGAACTCACACAGGTCAGGCGAGCACTCCACCACTGAGTCACATCCTCAGCCCCCACACATTTTTAGCAATTTCCTTTGAAGAATGAACTCTGGAAAGAAGGGAAAGGAATAATATGAGAAAAGGAAAAAACAGAAAGTCTTTGTAAATAGGGAGGGTGGAGGGGTTGAAGGGAGGGCAGGGGAATGGGGAAAAAGTAAGAACCAAGATACATCTTGTAAAGGTACAAGTTCCCCAAGATGAATGTCATCATATTGTATACCTAAAATGTACCAATAAACTTAATGAATAAAAAAAATTACAAGGCAAGGGGAAAAAAAAGAATGAACTCTGGCTTTCATTAATTTTATTTTTTTTGGGAAAATAACAAAAAATCTTGAGAGTATTTTTAGTGCCTCTTATTTGTGATATTCAAGGAACATGGAGTGACTGTTACTCCCAAACACAAGGAGGCAGGGCACCCCTGTTGTTTCTATGGTTCCTTGTTGGGTGGAGAAGGAAAGACTCTTAAATTCTTGTATGAGCAGTGTCAGGCCTTGTGAATAGCTTCATGGCAGCAGAGCATAGCCATATACTGGCTGTTCTGGCTGAAATGCTTGCTTGCCTTCAGATAGTGCCAGGATTTTTTTCTCTGCCTCACTCTCCTCCCCTAAAGATTCCTGCTTGAGAATCTGCTCCTGAATGATGTATCTGAGGTTGCTCCCTTATCCGAGAGCAGGAAGCCTAAAGGTGACAGAGCTCCCTGGTGTTCTCTACCTTGCAGAGATTAAAGAGGACCCTGAATCTGTTTCTTGGGTGTCTTGTGAATGTCAGAAAATATATTTTGAAGGTTTAGGAGAAGGAAGGCCGTAGGATATGGTGTTTACGTTTCTTTCCCTGGAACCCAACCTGTCTTCACTGGAAAACAGAGTCGTACCCTAATGAGAAATCTTCCTTCGGCCAAAAAGAAGCTGCTAAAGGTTAGTGTGTTCTTAATTTTTCATTTTTCTTCCTCTTAGATTCACATAACTGTTATTATTAAAGAGGATACAATTTTAAGCTTAGAAGGAGAAGTAACAAGGGAAAAATAATCATTGCTATATGCATGTGCGACATTTTGTTTTTTCCCCTGTAATATCTAGTTTTCTTTGGTGGTACTGAGTACTCTGTGTTTTATTTAGAAAGTGGGTGTGATTTGGTGGGACAAACATTAGGCTTGTGGATGAAAAGATTCAGGGGAGGGAGAGTGGAAGGAAGTCCTGCATTTTCTTCTCATAACATGTGTAGTATTCAGTAAGTTATTTGGCTTCTGTTTTTCTGTTTAGAAAAGAAGCCTAGTTAGTTGTGAAAATTAAATGGAACAATGTAAATCTCTTATCCATAGAAGGCACTCATGAAATATTGTACACACAGTTATTTGTCCCTGAGTGGAGATATATTTTAAATTTGATGGAGTATGTCAATGCTTATAGTGCATTTTATGGATAATATCAACTTTGTCCTTTTTTTTTTTCAGGGCTGGGGATTGAATTCAGGGTCACATGCAAGGTAGGAAATCACTCTACTACTGGGCTACATCCCCAGTCCCTTTTTAAATTTTATTTTGAGACAAAGTCTTCGTAAGTTGCCAAGGTTGGCCTTGAACTTGAGGTGCTCCTGCCTCAGCCTCCCAAGTTGCTGAAATTACAGGCATGCACCCTTGGGCCTGGCTTCATTTGTACTTCTTTAAGGACACTTTTAAAAAAGGTTGCCTAGACACCACATGTGGCTATTGAATTATATGTGTTGAAAAGCATATATAAATATGCTCTTAATATATAAATTGCCAAATAGAAGCAAGAAATGTACGTTTCCTTTTTTAAAAAATCTTGCTTTTGTGGCCGGGGATTTAACTCAGCGGTTCCACTGCCTGCCTCACAAGTGCGAGGACCTGAGTTCGATTCCCGCCCCCCCCTCCAAAAAAAAATTCTTGCTTTTTTTATGGTTGCTAGGGATTGAATTCAGGACCTTCTGCATATTAGACGAAAATTCTAGCACTGAACCACACCCCTAGCCTGTAGTTGTGCTTTTAAAAGGACTTTTAGACTTCTAGAATTGGTGCCAAGTCTGAATTTCATGGATTTTATCTCCAAACTCACTAAGAGCTGGAGACTCCAGATAAGAGCTCCGTTCTAGGGCTGTAGGGGTTGGAGCAAGAATTAAGCAATGAAGGGTGGGGACTTCTCTAATTACACCTTAACGTCAGCAAGTGTTCAGCTGGTTCCCTGTCTGTTCCTGATGTGGAGGTGGAGCCGGATCCTGATCCAGTGTGGTCAGCTACTTTGCAGGGTCAGGTTATAGAGCTCCAATAGGAAGCCAGGTGTGAAAATCTCCCAGGCAGGTCTTTGTTGAGGATGTTTGTGTAGAGCAGAAATACCTAGTTTGCTATCAGTTCCGAGTTGAAGTTGACATTCCCATGAATGTGTGCATGGTTAGTTTGTAACTGGAGGCATTTTGTTCCATCCAAGGAGTCTGTCCCCCATCTGCTCCCCGTGTGCACTGGTCTCCTGTTCTATGAAGATGATTACATGGAAGAAACTCAGACGGAATTATCACGTGTGGGTCCTGGGCTGTTACATGGTGCTGGCCATTGTTGCTTTGAGACTTTCTCTCAGACTGAAGTGTGATTTTGATCAGCTGTATTTGGACTCCAAGGAACTTCTCACCCAGTACTGTAGGAATATCTTGTACGAATCCTTGAGGCTGCCAGCAAAGAGGTCCATCAACTGTTCGGGGGTCACCAGAGGGGACCAGGAAGCAGTGATCCAGGCTGTTCTGAATAACTTGGAGGTCAAGAAGAATCGGCAGCCTTTCTCAGATGCTGACTATATCACTATGACCAGAGACTGTGAGGAATTTAAGGCCCAAAGGAGGTTCCTGCATTTCTCGACGAGCAGAGAAGAGTTAGACTTCCCTATTGCATACTCCATGGTGGTTCATGAGAAAATTGAAAACTTTGAGAGGCTGCTTCGAGCTGTGTATGCCCCTCAGAATATATACTGTATCCACGTGGACGAGAAGTCTCCAGAAGCGTTCAAAGAGGCAGTTGGGGCGATTGCTTCATGCTTTCCAAATGTCTTCATAGCCAGCAAGCTGGTTCCAGTGGTTTATGCTTCCTGGTCCAGGGTGCAAGCCGACCTGAACTGTATGGAGGACTTGCTGCAGAGCTCGGTGCCTTGGAAATACTTACTGAATACCTGTGGGACAGACTTTCCTATAAAGACCAATGCTGAGATGGTCCGGGCCCTTAAGATGTTGAATGGGAAGAACAGTATGGAGTCAGAAATACCTAGTGAATACAAAAAACTCCGCTGGAAATATCACTATGTGGTGAAGAACACATTGTACAAAACCAACAAGAGGAAGGATCCTCCTCCCAATAACGTAACCATGTTCACCGGCAATGCCTATATTGTGGCTTCTCGAGACTTCGTTCATCATGTCTTAAATAACCCCAAATCCCAACAACTGATTGAATGGGTAAAAGACACCTACAGTCCTGATGAACATCTCTGGGCCACCCTTCAGCGTGCCATTTGGATGCCTGGCTCTTCTCCCTTGCATCACAAGTATGACATCTCAGATATGACCTCTATTGCCAGGCTGGTCAAGTGGCAGCAACATGAGGGAGATGTCAGCAAAGGGGCACCTTACGGCCCTTGCTCTGGAATCCACCAGCGTGCCGTCTGTATTTATGGGGCTGGGGACCTGCATTGGATGCTGCAGAACCATCACCTGTTGGCCAACAAGTTTGATCCAAAGGTGGATGATAATGTTCTTCAGTGCCTAGAAGAGTATCTACGCTATAAGGCCATGTATGGGACTGGACTGTGAGGTACACTGCAGAGGAGTGCTGCCTGTGGGGCTGGAACATGTGCAAACGTTGGAGCCTACTGGGACAACATGGGGTGGGGGGACCAGGGCTCTGGAATCCGTGCTGCAGTTGGGGTGTGGGTAAGTAGACCTGCTAGCTGGCAAATTGCTGCCCTGGCAGCAGCTGGATGTTGTCCAGTCCCTCTCTCTAATAGTTCCTCTGCTGACTTTCTCAGAGAGAGAATGAGGACTGCTGCTGTTTGGGAGAGTAAGGGAGGCAGAGGACTCTGGATTTCAGCTGAGTGCCTGGTATCAGGTTTTCAACTCTGTGGAGATACATTCCTAATGCTTCTAGGCTTGGTGGGGGGGAAATGGGAAGAAAGAGCCTTCCCTTTGGTGTTGTTAACTTAAAAATAAATAGCTCCTGATTCAAAGCCCTACCTCTATGTTTTGTCTGATAAGCCAGGAATAGTATAAACAGATAAAATGTGTGAGACTTTTTCTCATAGCTCTTGGTGACATTTAAAATCTCCAGTGGCTGGCAAAAGAGTTTCCATTATCCAAAGTGGTCCTGGCAAGCTGTATGAATAGCAAATTCAAAAGAATGCAAAGGAACAGAGCTGGTTCTTTCACTATTGAAAGCCCTCCTTATTTTGTGTGCATTGCCAGATTCATAACTTTTCTGTAAGGGAAAATGCAGGTGATTTAACCAGTTTGACCACCCATGTCCTTCTAGAAAAATTATGGTGCTGATTTTACTAGCTCCACAGCCAAAGCTTAATGTTCCAAACAGCCATTTAGGTAAAGTAGAATATAATTTATTAAGCAAACTGGAACATGTTTCAAAAGGGGAAGGGGCTATGCTGTTAATAATTATACCGAGGGCTGGGGATTTAGCTCAGTGGTGCCGCTGCCTGCCTTGCAACCTCAAGGTCCTGAGTTCGAATCCTGGTACCAAAAAAAATTATACTGAGAAAAGAAAAGAAACTCGGACTGTCTAGCTAAACCAGGATGTCTGTTCCACATGTAGGCCCACTGAGTCCAAACTCCCTTATTTCACTATGTGAATGGAAAGAGTCATTAGTGGTGATGCCCCATATTACATGTTTTCTGGTGGGAGACAATGTATGTATGCATATATCTTCCCCAACTCCCAAATGTTACTCAGAGAAACAGGTTTCTTTCTGAAACTCCAGAGATCATTGTTGACTCCTATTCATCCTCTTTTGTAATGAGGGAGAGATGCTGTAAAATTATAGACAATGGCCTTTGAGTAAGGAAAGCACAGCTTTAGTTCACGTACCATCTGTTCTGAAAAGTGATTTGTGTACAAGTTAATCTGGGTAATTTGGACGATGTTCCTATTGACATGGCGTGAGTTGTTCATGTGTTTCCTCATTTCTTTTTTTTTTTTTTTTACCCATTTGATCAGATTTATTGTTTAGCAACTGATGGGTATTTTAAATGCTTAATAATAATTGTATTCATTATATTTGTGATTGTTTAACTTTCTCATGGAGAAAAAGAAACCCAGGCATAAAAATACCTGCTGGGCCTTCCACATAGTTTTGGTTTTTACAGATACTTGGAGCCCGTGTCTAGACGGTGGGCAAAGAGGCACCACCAGGTGATCAGGCACAGGTTGTGACCTTTGACCCATGGCTCAGTTCATCTCAAGATCTGGTTTATGTTGTCCTCTAGCTCTTCAGGCGTATTGCTGGGCAGCTGGTGCACAGTATCTTCCTTGTATGATAACATGGCCTCTTCATAAATAACGTGAAAAATCTCACACTCAATATTATCTTCTAGTTTCTTCTCATTATAACCTCTTGTTTCAAGTCTTTTTGTACAATATACTGTTATCTGTTCTCAACACAAAAACTGCATGAAACCATCGTTCAGGAAAGAAATCCCAACCATGGTAGTCAACAATAACTCCACCATCTGCCATTTGGTTCTCTAACTCATCAACTACTTTTTCTTCATCTAAAATGGGACACTCATGCTCTTCATCGTACCCGTTGTATAACACCCCTTCTCGAGCTACATCACCCACATTAATGTACTTTAGTCCTGATCTGGATGCAAGTGCTTTGCCTAGTGTGGTTTTTCCAACTCCTGGTGTACCTCGGCGGCCGGCCGAGTCCCCAGAGCACTCGGCAACCCCGCCCGGCCAGCGGCGCTAACCGGTGATCAGGATGTTCGGCCGAAGTTCACGACGCCCCGGCCCGGGTGCTTCAGCTCGCTCTCCTAGCACACTATTTCCTCATTTCTGATTGTCATTCAGTCCATCAAGTTTTCTCTCAATCAACAATCTACTTCTTCTGCAGCCGACGTGCCCCTGAGAGTTACTATGTGTGACTCCGTGAATTTCCTATGCATAAGTTCTGTGATTTCCTTTTTTTTAAACATTGTGTTCTCCATTGATCTCGGTCATGGTCACTGCCAACTCACCTACAGTGTAACACTGACTCTGCTCCAGCCCTACCACAGAGGTGCCTGATGCGGACGGCGTTCTGAGAAAAGAATCCAGGCCTTTGGCCTCATAATCATCAGGCTCTAACAGCTTTCATGGACAGTAAGTTATAACTTTTCATATAAATAAACTTCAAAGAACAGCTTGTGAACTTGTCATTTTTGGGGAATAAGTTAACTGGAATTTTTCAAGCATTGAACTTTTCTCTAGAAATATATTCAGGAGAATAGGAAGGGTTCTTTAATAACATAAGGTCATCTCATAAGGCTCAGATTCCTCCCATGTTCAATGAATTCATACAGTTAAACCAACGCATCTGCTGACTGTTCCTTCCACGGAGTCTTATCTGATTCTTTAACCTTTCTCAGGAAAGGAAAAACCTTACTAATGAATTGAGCAGCTGTTTGTATTACCTCTTGAGGTTTAATTTCCTCTTTATTTTTTATTATGAACTATTGAGCATTGTTTTAATAACTATTTTTTCTGCACGCCCTGCTTGTTGTACTTCTCTTGGTTGAGTGATTTTTTTTTTCAGTGCAAGGGATCAAACCCAGGGCCCCGCAGTGGTGTACTACAAAGCCCAACTATAGCCGTGAGGATTTTGTTTTTTTTCTAAAGAGGAACAAGACAGTCGATAACTTGTTTGGGGACATGTAACATAATTTAGTTGGAGAGGTCAAGTATTTTGATTAAAAATGGAGAGACTAATGAATACTTTGCCTGCCTTAAGCACCTCAGTTGATACAAAGCGCTATTCCTATTTCTTCCATTTAGTCTACCATTTATTACAAAGATTAGTAAGATATGGCTCTTGCCTTTATGTATTCATTGTTTTTTTTTTTTTTTTTGATACCGGGGATCAAACTCAGGACCTTGCGCTTGAGCTGCAGGCGGCG